AGAACATTCCATCCAACAACCTCAGAATATTCATTCTTCTCATCAGCACATGGATCATTCTCCAGGATAGATCACATATTAGGACACAAATCAAGTCTTTTTTTTTTTTTAAAAGATGACCGGTAAGGGGATCTTAACCCTTGACTTGGTGTTGTCAGCACCACGCTCAGCCAGTGAGCGAACCGGCCATCCCTATATGGGATCCGAACCCGTGGCCTTGGTGTTATCAGCACCACACTCTCCCGAGTGAGCCACGGGCCGGCCCCATTGTTGGACTTCTTACATGCCTTCTGGCTTCCACAGAGAACAATTCCAAGAAGTCAAACCCCAATGTGCAAGTTCTTATCAAGACTCTTTTGGTATCAGGCTTGCTAATGTCCCCTTCACCAAAGCAAAGCACATGGCCAAGGCCAGATTCAATGTGGAAAGGGCTATGTACCAGGATGTGAATATTGGGAGGTTAATTGGTTCCCTGGGGGCCACCTATGTAACAATCTACCACATCCCTATTTTGCCTTTATCCTTGACTTGGTCTCTCCACTGACTGTTTTACATGTCAGTAAATCATTTGCATAGAAAATACTAAATAGTGGGGCCGGCCCGGTGGCGCACTGGGTAGTGCGCCGCTTGGGAAGCGCGGCGGTGCTCCCGTTCGAGGGTTCGGATCCCACATACAGACCGGCTCCCGCTCACTGGCTGAGCGAGGGGCGGGAAGCAACACCGAGGCTTGCGATCCCGTTGCCGGTCCCCGGTCCGGTACGGAGGCAACACTGAGGGTTGCGATCCGTTGCCGGACACGGAAAAAAAGACAAAAAAAAAAAAAGAAAAGAAAATACTAAATAGTGTGCAAGTAACTAAACGTTTCTGAGTTATTCTTTAACAGTTTATTCCTGGAGATAGTACCTACCTGCCTGACTCAACTGTGGAGTCAACAGAAATGTGTGGTCTGAAGGTACGCCTCATGCATATCTGTACCCTCTGTATCCTCAGCTCAGCTTCGTTGGCTCCTCCAGCAAGTCTCATTTCTGGTGATTGACCTCTGGTTCTTGCTCACTAACTCTGATTCTTGGCAAAGTTTGTATTGAGTTATGTTATGGTTGCTCATGACTAAACATGTCTACAGTGGGATAGCAGTGGGGGAACTTTGAGTTTTTATTTCATAGCTCAATCATTACATGATTCCTCTCATGTGGGAGATCATAGGAATCATGTCCCAGTGGGGAGGCAGACAAAACAGAATCTGGAATATGGTTCACTTTTGAGTCTTTATGGTTTGTTCATTTGTTGTATGTTTCCATCCATATAAGTTCCTTTAACTCTAAAGATCATAGCCCTCTTCCTCCTTACAAAACTGTCCTTTTTCATGTTTACTTATATATATATTACATGATTTCATGTACATATGTCATGTATAATATATATGTAACATGATCGTTGTTAATACGAAGGTACTTCTAAAAGTTTGTGAGAAAATGGAATTAATAGAAATTAACTGAAGACGCTGTGTATATGCAAAAATAGATTTCCTATAGCAAAGATGAAAAGAAACCAATATATCCCCAGTACACAATAGCTTTCTTGAATGTTTCTAAACAATTCAGTTATTCAAAATTCATGGCCTTTCAGAACTCTTTAACTGAAAATTAAACATATGAAAATTAAACATAAACAAAAAGTTCATTGAAAAATAGAATTAAAAGATAATACAAGTCATTCCATTAACTTTTTGAACTATCCTCATATATAACTCTGTAATAGAATCCTAGACTGTGTCTCCTTGTGGGCCTATAAGAATGTATGGAGTATGTAGCCATAAACACAAGTTAGATTCTAGATTTTTGTATATAGAAATTCCCTGATGAAAGCCACTCTGGTTTGTTTATTCTGGTTTCTTTTCATCCCTTTAGCTTGCCTGCACCAGTCTACACTCACCAGTGATATACCAGGGTTCCTCTTTCCTTACATGTTTGGTTGATTTTAACTGGTGTATTAGTCCATTTTGTGTTGCTATAACAGAATACCTAAGACTGGTAATTTGTAAAGAGCAGAGGTTTATTTGGCTTATGATTCTGGGACAGCTGCATCTGGCATGGGCCTCAGGCTGCTTCTACTCATGGTGGAAAGCAGCAGGTATAAAGCAGGTCACATGGTGAGAGGAAGGAAGAGAGAGAGGGGAGGTGCCAGGGTGTTTTAAACAACCAGCTCTCACGGGAACTAACAGAGCGAGACCTCACTCAGGCCCCCTTCCCTAGGGAGAGCATTAAACCATTCATGAGGGATCTGCATCCATGACTCAAAACAGCTCCTAACACTGCCACACTGGGGATCAGATTTCCACATGAGTTTTGGCAGGGACAACACATCCAAACTCCATCATTCCGTTCCTGCCCCCCCCCTCAAACTCATGTCCCTCTCACATACAAAATACAATCATCCCATCCCAAGAGTCCCAAAAGTCTTACCTTGTTCCAGCACCAACTTAAAAGTCCAAACTCTCATCTGAGACCAAAAGCAAAAGTCCTTCCAGCTGTGAACCTGTAAAAATCAAAAATCTATCTACTTCCTAGTTACAATGGTGGAACAGACACTGGGTACACATTCCCATTCCAAAAGGGAGGGATAGGCCTAAAGAAAGGGGAAATGGGC